GATGCACGTCTGGCAATAACAAACAGCAAAGAGTTGCTGCAGATATGGAATCACTTGCATTGTTTAAAGAAACACATTTTACAAAAGAGGGAGTCAATCGGCAAGTGAGCAAAGGATCTGGAAGTTCACGAAAAAATGATTTTATAAGTGCAGCAATATCATGTACTTGTACAAAATCGCATGAACAGCAAGAACCTTCTTTCTCTAATATCTCCTGTATTAAAAAATATTTACAGTATTGTAATACTTACAATTCCATTTTCTCATTACTAAAAGTTAAATTAAAAAATCCTAATAACAGTTAAACTTAAAAAATTATAAAAATTTAATAATACTAGAAAAATAAAGTAAATATTTTATTATAAATATAAATAAGCCTGGATTGTTTTAACCTCTAATAAATAAAGTTGGCGTGATACTAGAGTGCATCTCTGTATAAAAACTATATATCTATATATGTGTATGTATATATATATATATATATATATATATATATATATATATATATATATATATATATATATATATATGTATATATATATATATATATATATATATATATATATATATGAGGGACTATTCTAGGAAAAAATTTGGGCAGCGGTACCCCCTCATTCCGGCAAACTTTAGCGGAAAATCAAAAATAACAATATTTGCCGTAAAAAACGTAAAAAAAAAAAAAGGTCTATAAATTTTAATTTATATATATATATATATATATATATATATATATATATATATATAGCAATTTAAAAGCTTCCTTTAAATTTAATATTTAAAACATTTAATATATATACTCAATATAAATTTAATTGACAAGAATGAAATATATCATACCCTGAGAATTTTCTGTCTTCCCACAGAACCAGACTTTCGAAATATTCCTTCAACCTTTAAATGTTTACTCAAGTATTGAAAGCTCTCTATTAGAAATCTAAATTTAACAGAACATAAACACTTTCTATATATGGAAAAAGTATTATGGATTGAATACAATATAACACTTAATTCTCTCATCCATTTTTTTTATGGATAAGAAAAGTGTTTACCCACCCCATCAATATCTATGAGACTTGTGTAAATATAAAACTGTGTTACATCGTTTTCTGTCTAGGAAAATGAATACTAGCAGGGCTCGAATTAATGTAGAAAAATCTAATCGTAAAAACAAAACAAAAATTTTTGAGCCCTTTTGTGTTTCACACAGTTTATAACAATAATACCATTAAAATGCATTTAAAATAAAACAAAATAAATAAATAGAATTGTTCTAATTAATAAATTAAAAAATTATCGTTATAAAACTTTAATCTTCATATATGCACAAAAACATGCTATATCTATAGACCAAATGAGTAAGATCAAAGCAAAAAAACATTGGAAGCCAGTCTTCTCCATTTGACGTGCTCTTTCAGTTTTGCGCTTGCCCACACACCCGCCATTACTACGGGTGGCACTTTTTTAAGTGCTTGCTAAAATATTTCAAGCTTGCTTTTAAATTGAAACAAATCTTTTTTTTTAAATCAAATTTCTTATTTAAAGAGGTACAAAAAGCAAATATTTTTTAAAATCATGTCAGACAAATAATTACTGTTCGGTACAGTAACTACTTGTCTGGCATGCGCAATTTTAAAAATTACAGCGCTTTTTCGAGCGCTGGTGGTAAATTTCAAACGGAGAAGACTGTAGAAGCCACCCTAGGGCTGTCCCGAAGAGATCTTAAAGAGGATGTGACTCCTTAAATAATAAGGTCTTTACAAAAAATAATTTACTATTTTATGACTAAACTTTTTTCCTCATTTGCGCTATCTTCTAAATTTGATATTGTTACTGTAGCTAGATCTATGTTTGACTTCCAGGAATGATCCTTGCTACTTGGTATTTCAAAGTCCTGCATTTAAATTTATAATTATTGTTAGCGAGCGTTAAGTTCTTTTAAAAAATTAAATTTTTTTAAAAATTCAATCTATTTAAATAAGAGACTAAATTTCTCTAGTTATATAACAACAAATAAATTTCTTTAAAAAACAATTCCTAAAAACAACTTGCGTTAATAGAAAATGTTTAATCTTGGTATTGCTATAAATAAAATAAAAATTTTAAAAAATGGTATTGCCTTTTTCATATTTTATTTAAGATTTCTTGTTTAAATTTTTAGTTAAATGTTTATAACGCCTTAACAACATATGAGGTATAAATAAAAACATTTATATGGCTAACTTTTGCGAGTCTTTGAGTATATTAAATTAAATAGTTGATTAACTTAATTGTAGTAACTTGATTGGTTGTTTTGATTAAGTTTATAGGTAAAATAACTGTGATTTACTTTATCAATTAAGTAAAACAAACTAAATAAAAATTATGTTGAATGAAAATCTCAGCGCAAAAGAGCAAGCGATCATATATACATAAATATATGCATAAAACATAACAGATTTTAGATTAGCATGATTTGCGTGACTTAATGACCCCCTAATAAAAAAACTATATGTATGACCAGGGCTGTGGAGTCTAATCATTGAAATTTTCTGAGTATGACTCCGACTCTAACTCTGACTCCAACTTCAAAGAACTTTTTTTACAAATTTTTGAAAAATTCTTTGAATTCTTTAAAAAATATTACGTGATAATAAAAACTTTTTTCGTGTGTCAAATATATGGAAAATTCTTTAAGGTTAAATATTTTATACATGTACGTGCAATACTAAGAACTCCACTACAATTCTCGCGACTCCGACTCCACAATTCCATTTCCACAGCCCTGCTTATGACCCCTTAAAAAATACTTAATGACCCCTAATAAAAAACTTAGACGAAAACATTCTATAAAAATAAAAAAAAGTGGTGTAACATTGACACATCTTTAGAAAAAAAAAAATTTTCTAGGATGCGACAAAAAAAAAATTTAGTATACAATATTTCCAAGTGTTTACCAATGATATTTTAATGTTACTTGCGATTGACAATTTCTCACTGGTTATTCTACTTTACTTTAGTGGAAAAATTCCACAAGTTTCAAAAGACATTATAGAATTGCTTTGACTGAATGTCCCACTGTCTGCAACCAATTTCAGCAATTGTGGAAAAGTTGCTTTATTTAAATTTTTATCATAAAAGATTTTCAAACAGTTCCTCCAAGATGCTTTGATTGTCTTAAAAACACCTACATCTAAAGGTTGTAAAATACTGCTTTTATGGGCAGGTAAATAAAGAAGTTTGCAATAGATAAGTCTACAACAGTTTTTGATATGTGAGAGTTGTGTTCATCAAATATGAAAAGCTTCAACCCTTCTAATTGGTTTGTTTTGGCAATAAATATTTTTTTAAACAATTCAATAAATTAGGGGATTCCATCCAACCTGAAGGAGAATAGTTGTAACGTGCATTGTCTAGACCACCATTGCACCAGGTGTTGTATGGTGAAAAAAAATTGACTGGTTGCAGAACAGCATACCTGCACTGTGAAAATTGTTTTAGTTCAAGTACCAACCGTTTTATGTGGATTCCGACCGTTTTATGTGGATTATGTGGATTTAAAAAATTTAATTTTAAAACTATTTTTAAAATCTATCCCAAAGGACTAGTCTCCAAGTTTCTGAATTGTATGAACAATCAACATTTCTTCTTTTCTTGTCAAAATTATTGGGCACCCAACTTGTTTACAATGCAATTTCTTGAGACGATAAATTAATGCTGTTCTATTGATATTGCACATGAATGTCGCTTTTCTTATGATGTCATTATTTTCACTCAAATCATTAATGGCTTTCTTCATGGCTTCTCAATCAAATGATCCAAATGAGAAACCTTTCATCATGGCTTCTCAGTAGTACGATCTTTGACAATCATGTAAATGTTACCCCAAAACTGAATAAAAATACGTGTTTTAAACAAAAAATACTAAAAAATTTAAATGCTTAGTATTTAGAAATAACATCATAAAAATACATTTAAAATTATATTATAGTATTGTTTAACTTACCTTATGACTAATATTTCATATAATAGATCTATTATATTTCATATAATAGATCAAAAATTGAAGCAAATCTGAGGTGGTACTCTAGGTTACTTATGACTAATATTTTTCAAAATTAAAAAAATTAAGAATAAGGGTCCATTCCATACCAAATCACCTAATAGTCCCCAGGGTACCACCTCAGACTTACTTCAAATTTTGAGTATTTCCAATATATATATTTTTGATATTTCCAGTATATAAATATTATGATATAAAAATATTATCATATATATATCCAAAGACTAAAGTATGTCATAAGATAGAGTATAGGTCTTTAAACTTTTTTTTATGATTGTCTATATATAGAACTTCCACAGTAAAAATTTTTATAATTTATTTCAACTGTTGACGCTATTTACTATGCCTACAAAGTGAATGTAATTTATCATATTTTTTAGAAAAAGTGATGTTTTAACAGGCTGCTTCAAGTGTTTAACTAACTTTTAATGCATAACTTTGCTTTTTACCACGGGTATACCCTAGTCCATACCCTAAGTACACAAAAGTAACAAAATATTTGCACTGCCTGTCTGTAGGTATTGAACTGTAACACATTAAAGTTTCACAAATTTGTTATAATATTGCATTTTTTAGCAACTATGGGGTACAATAATTCAAAAACTCTTTAAAATCAGTCGAAAACACCTGCAAAAATAGATTATTTAGGTGAAAAACTATAAAGTAAAAAATTTTAGGTAATCACCTATTTTATTTAAAAAGTTATGGTCTGTCAAAAATCAATAAAATCTACTGCAAGTTCCAGATACCCAAATTTTTCTAATTTTGGTCAATATTGATCTGATCATAACTTTTAAACAATTTATCAGCTAATCAAGCTGAAATTTTCAGGATTTTTTTTTTCATAAAATCTATATGAGATCAAAAATTGAAGCAAATCTGAGGTGGTACTCTAGGTTACTTTCTAAAAACTAGGTTATTTCATATGAAATAACCTATAAGTTTAATTTGTGTTTACCATATTGTGTCGTTGTTTATTATTTACAATTATGTAGATAAAAATAGCTATATTTGTTCATTCAACAGATTACTGTCGCATTGGTTAAAATAATTTAAACAATAGTCAACTGGTGACTGGTAAAAATATTTAACATAAGACATTCCATCTCTCATTCATGGGACTGATCTTATTACCTTTCCCAAGGATAAGGCAGAACTACTTGCAAAGAACTTTTCTTCTAATTCCACTCTTGAATCTTATGGACATTCTCTTCCTTCCATTCCAGTCAAACAGGTTGACCCATTGTTAGACATTCAAATCACTCCGGCTTTTGTTGCTAAAGTCATATCTCAATTAAACTTGTCTACAGCTTGTGGTCCAGACAACATTCCTGTCACAGTCTTGCAGAATTGTTCTCCAGAACTTTCTTCAATTCTCTCTAAACTATTTAACAAGTGTTTGACTGAGTCTTGTTTTCCTGCTTGTTGAAAAATGGCATCTGTGGTTCCAATATTCAAAAACTCTGGAGAAAATTCTGACCCCTCCAATTATCATCTGATCAGTCTTTTTCTGTTAATAGCAAGGTCTTTGAGTCTTTGATCAACAAATTCCTCACATCTCATCTTGAGTCAAATAAACTACTGTCAGCCAATCAATACGGTTTTCGATCCTCTCGCTCTACGGCCGACTTGCTAACTGCTGTAACTGAAAGATTTTATCGTACATTAGATGGAGGCGGTGAGGCTAGGGCTATTGCTCTCGACATATCTAAAGCTTTCGACAAAGTTTGGCATGCTGGTCTTCTCCATAAGCTTGCTTCATATGGTGTTTCTGTGAAAGTTTTTGAGATTATCAAATCATTTCTTTCTAATTGGTTTATTAAAGTCATCCTTGAAGGCCAACACTCTTCTTTATTTCCAGTAACTTCTGGGGTTCCCCAAGGTTCCATCCTGGGCCCTGTTTTGTTTCTTATCTACATAAACGATCTTCCTGACAACCTTTTATCTAAAAGTAGCTCTTTTTGCTGATGACTCAACTTTATACTCCTGTCTTGACAAAAAGTCTTCTCTTTTCGATCGCCTAGAACAAGCAGCTGATCTTGAATCCGATCTCACTTCAGTAATAGATTGGGGTTCACAGTGGCTTGTGAATTTCAACTCTAACAAAACCCAGTTGCTTACTGCAAACAACTACCAAAATATGGTCAATATTCCTATATTAATGAATGGCAATCCTCTTACTGAGTCCTCCTCTTTACGTCTTCTTGGATTATCGCTTACTACTGACCTTTCATGGAAACCATATATACAACGATTGCTAAATTAGCTTCTGCTAAGGTTGCTTCTCTTTATCTTGCTCGCCATTTCCTTATTTCTGATTCCATTCTCTACCTCTACAAATCTCTTATTCGCCCCTGTATGGAATACTGTTGTCATATTTGGGCTGGTTCTTCTAACGATTCACTTTCTCTTCTTGACAAGGTCCAAAAACGCATTGTAAATGTTATTGGACCTGGACTATCTGCTAAGCTTGAGCCTCTTTCCCATCGTCGTAAAGTTGCATCTCTTTCTCTTTTTTACAAATACTATCATGGTCACTGCTCAAAGGAGTTATCATCTCTAGTTCCAAAAAAAACATGTCAATGTTACCCACCGATCAATGTAACACCGCATTACCTTACTTATAAGAATGGCCAAAAAAAAATACTTAATTAGAAAAAAAAAAAAAAAATAGAAAAAAAATATATGCATTTTTAAAACAAAAATAATCTGCCAAGATGTGAAAAGCAATCTCAATTTCCAATCTCGATACAGCATTAATTTCCCGGCAAGACTACGATGATCTCGATATTTGAGCCTTGACTAGATGTTCATGACTATACTTGTGGGTTTTCAAGTGAGTTTTTTTATTGTTTTCTTTGTAGTGATTCTTGGGCTTATCTCTTTCGTCTCTGACATGGAAGCTTATGTTTTATCTTGTTAGTTTAAAATCAAGCCTCGTTTTACCGGATGGTAAAAAGAGGCTTGATTTTAAACTAACAAGAAAAAATATAAGCTTCCATCGTAATCATATCTTTCAACCTTTTTACAATTCTAAGGCCACACATTTCATATCCAGTAATTTCTGGGATACCACAAGATTTGATTGTTGGTTCTGTATTGTTTCTCATCTTACATAGTTTATCTTCCAGACTTTATCTTACATAATTCCTTAATTGTTCCATTACTTCCATAATTTATCTTACATATAAAGTGGCTCAATTTGTTTACAAAACAATTATACAATCCAGATTATCATTCGCTACTGACCTCATGGAAACCATATATACAATCCATTGCAAAGTTAGCATCTAAGTTTGCTTTTCTTTATCATGATCACCATCTCCTTACTCCTGATTTCATCCTAAAATTCTATAAATGTCTTATTCATTTGGAATACTGTTATTATATTAGAGCTGGTTCTCCAACTGATGCCTTTTCTCTTCTAGTTTTTTCGAAATCTTCAGTTATATTTTTGTAGATTCTATGTGTTTATTATAAAAAATGTTAAAATAGATCAAAAGGAATCAAAAAAACATAAGATTTTTTTATTTTAAGTAGTTCTACTCTATGTAAAACTACTTAAAATAAAAAAACAGGTTTTCACTGATTGCTTTTGAAATTTTTTGTTATATTTTTGTAGATTCTGTGTGTTTCAGAACTCCAGGAAGGAAGGTTATTTGACCAGGTATATTCTATTGATTATTCCACTGCGCTACAAAAATTGAATAACAAAACTATACTATGTAATTTGGTTACAATGCGAAACTTCTAATTTAACATAAATGTGCTTATGGTTATACTTTATTTTGTTATTAAACCAGGCCATATGCTCCTTAGTAGTAGTAAATACAGGTTACATAAAAGATAGAAAAATCTGATATAAAAACCCCAATTTAATTTAGGGTAATATCATTTCCACCTTGTACTTTCTTAATTGTACATGCCACTTCTAATTGTACCATTTAATACACAGATACTAGATGCCTAACAATCAGTTCATAACTGTGTTATAACCATCAGTTATTAACTGTGCAGAAACTCTAGCCTGCCTTTATTTAAGTCAAGATATAAATACATCTTATATTTAAATATTACTTACAATGGAATAGAAAAGTGAACATCATCTTTTATATTTCTTGATGGAACATGAGCTAGCGCGTTGCCAAATATTCCAGAACATTTTATAGTATCTAATTCCTTAAATTTATAAACAATGTTATTGAATATGTATAAAGTTAGTATTTATTAAAAGTAATTATTAAATAAACATATTTTATGAAAAAAGTTAAAATTCATAAAATTGCATTATTTTAAAAGAACTTAACAAAAAAATGAAAATTTCGGTTTTTACTTTCGTATATAAACATTGTCAAAATATAAATACTTTTGACTCACACGAAGTTTACTGGGTTTATCTTTTGATGTTTTAATAGAAAACTTTTCTTTTAGCTCTTGTCGTACTACTTTTCGTATGGAATCTCTAAAATCCACGCTAAAAATATCTTTCATTATTATAAATATTAACTCTAAACACAAAATACATATCAATACTTAATAATTTCAAAAAACAAAAATATAAAGAAGCAAAATTTTCTTTACTCTTAAACATTAAGATAAAACATTAATTTAAACACAATTTAACAATATTTGTAAAATATTGATACAATTTAATATTATACATTATTCAATATTATATTGTATAATGTATAATATTATAATATATTAATGTTTTACAAATAGAAAATACCATGTGTATGCGTGTGTGTGTGTGTGTGTGTGTGTGAGAGAGAGAGAAAGAGAGAGAGAGAGAGAGAGAGAGAGAGAGAGAGAGAGAGAGAGGGAGAGAGAAAGAGAGAGAAAGAGAGAGAAAGAGAGAGAGAGTTCAATGCATACACAGTAATACTATACTGTCAGTATAGTTTTCTAATTTGTTGAGAATTATTTTTATAATTTGCTGCATAGCATAAACAAGTATATAATTTTATTGGTTGATCAATGTTGGTTTGTGGTTTTTCTTTATGTTTATATTTACGTCAAGGTCTCTTTAAAAGAGAAAATTTAGACAGTTAAATATACACTAAAAATGGTGACAAATAAAGTTTAAATTTATAAACACAAAAAATAAATAATGGCTCCAAATAAAACAATCGCACGCGATTGGTAGAATCAACTACACGTATAATTTAGTGTACTCAACTAATTAAATACATAGTAAATTTAAAATTAGTTATATAGTTTCTACTAAAGAAACTATTTTTTTTTTTTACTTTTTATTCTATAATTACTTAATATATGCTTACATAATAAATTAAAAAAAGATATTATTTTTCTCGTTGCGGTATTAAAGTTAAAAAACATGGTATTTTCATTTTATTTTTTTCTTATTTTCATGCAAGATTTAAATAGGAATTAGTAATTTTAAGCTCCTGGATCTAACCTAAAGGTTGTTTCCAATCTTTAGGTTCAAGAATACAAATTATTTGACAATCGTGATATTAATTAGTTTTTGTTTAAAAATTTTTTGGGGGTAACTTTTTCTGTTATTTCCTAAAAAAACAATTCTAAAAATTAGTTTGATGTTTTCAAGTCCGCCTGGTAGCAATGTTTCTTGAACTCTATGTTAGCTCGTATAGAATCTAACTCCATTAACAGCTGTAAAATATTAGTGTATTAACAGTGCCATGTTGGATATGCATAGCGTCCGTGTTAGTGTTTCTGGAGGTATTATCGAAGCTAAAGCAAAGTTTTGCTTTTGTTATGACTTAGAGTTGATTAGCAGATATTAGGCAATTGCATAGTTTTTGCTGAGGTTGCCGATTACTATCTATGTTTAAGTCAATTTCTCTCTAATAATTTAGATCATGATTACAGTTTTTGAAAACATTTAACATAAAATCATCATCATGGTCGAATCTTTTACAAAAATTTGCAATCCTTGAAGTAACTTTTCAGCCGTAGAATCCAACCTCCGCAAATTTTACCTGAGCTAGTTGTTTTTTTGACTAAATTAAAGACTAAATAAAAATCAACTGTTTCATCTTAGGGATCAGTGCTGATGGCTGTTATCCTTTTATTTGTCCAGAGTCCAACAGTTACATTCTATGTCAAGGTATATATTTTCGTATCAATTAACCTACTCAACGTAGAATCCTTTAATTGTTTTTTTATATGCTTTGTTTAACACCTTACTTAATTAAACTTTTATTTGCACGTTACCGTCAGAGCCGCCGAGAGCTGTCACGCCGCCTGGCATGAAACCCTGATTGGCGCCCTTACTTATCAAAAACTCCCTATATTATACAATTTTTTTTTTAGATACCTTTTTTCCATTTGGCTCCCCTTCGATATCTGTCGCCCGGGACAAACTGTTCTTTTGCCCGAAACCCCTACTCACTTCCCATCTCGGCAGCCCTGGTTACTGTTCTCTTTATTTCTTTTAAGTCTGCAATTTTTGGTATTGGTTTTGGTCAAACTGATTTAACCTTTTTGCCATTATTATTGTTATTAGTAACTTTAATGTCCATTAAGTTGAATAGCTTGACTATTAAGTATTGGCTAGGATTCTTTTTGTAACTTTATGAGTATTGACACTTGGGCTTTTAGTCATTTGGTGAAAATGGCACCTTTCTTTACGTAATTTCTTCCTTCATAATTTCCTATGTGGTTACAAAACACATATTTAATTTGGTGAGATTTTTACTGGCGAGTAAAAATTTAAGTGAAAAAGTATTTAGTAATAAAAAACTAATTTATTACTTCATTAGTTGTTGATGAAACTGACGGTTCATCACTTTCAACAGCAATATCTTTCATTTTAAAAATCTTTTTTACTCTACCTCTATGACTTAATGAATTTATAAATATACAATAGTGCTCAAAAGTTAAGCACGCAGCAGAATTAAATTTACTTTTTCTCTTTAGAACTTAAAAAATAGAAAAAAAGGTAAAAAGTTTTAGTTATTTCAAACACATAATTTATTTTTTAGAACATTTAAAAACATATTAAGAAAAAATATATATATATAGGAAGAAATTAATAATATATAAAGTAAGAAAAAAAAGCTGCTCAAAGCTATTTAAAGTAACATAAGTACTTAAGTGTTTAAACAAATCAAGTACTCAAGTAATTTTTTTTTTCGAATTAAATCAACAGAAAATTGATATTTTATAAAAATTTGCATAAAAGTTATTTGATTTTCGATTTTGAACCCTAAAATTAAAGTATTATCTCTTTTAGTTTAAATTTTGTTTATTTCTTGGTTTTGTTTTACCATATTTTCCAAAAAAGATTATAGTTTAGACTATCAAAAAAAAAAAGAAGTTATAAACTATAAGAAATTATAGCAGGAGATATTTACGTCTTTCTTATGATCTTACAGATCCTAAAGCATCAACAGTTGAATGTAAAACCTCCAATGTTTAAACTAAAGAATCTTTATGAAAAAAGAACTTCACCATTTCAAGCTCAAAACTCCAATTTAATAAAAAATAAAGCTTACTTAAATGTTTTTGATTGAATCAAAAAAAAAAATGGCTAAATTTGAAGGATCAAATGACCGCCCAAAAATGCTTAAAAAATCGTAATGTATTTTAAAGTTTTAATCAGCATCATCAGTTGTTACCGTAAGATGCTTTAGCGCTCTAGACTTTTTTTTTTTTTAAATTTGAGAACATCTTTGAGTGATAAATTGATAGAAATTTTTCAGCGTTTTTTTCAAAGTTTTTAGCGTTCTTTTTTGAAAGTTTAATTAGGTTATGATTTGTTATACCTATATAGTACAATATCACACAAAAATTTAACAATAGATGTAATTTTTCTTTGTTTGAAAAATAACTAAAATTACTTGAAATTACTCAAGTTACTTAAATAATTTGAAAAAAATTACTTAAAATTACTTAAATAGTTTTTTTCTATTACTTGAACACCCCTAATCAGGAGATCTAGCTGGCTACTGAGGTACCTTGATATTAATTTGTTCAAACCATTCTGTAACAGATTTTGCTTCATGGCATTGAGCGTTGTTTTGCTTAAACATCTATTCTGGCTCGTTAAAAAAAGTCCTTTTCAAAGGACTTTTTTTTTAACATTTTTTTTTTCAAAAAAGTTTTAAAGGGTGTCCATGTATTTATGTTGGTTCTTTCGACCATTGTGTGATATGTATAGAGCTGGGCCATCATATCTAATGCAGCCCCAAATACCAAATGCACCACATTTATCTTGTAGTATACAGACCAACACGAATAACAAGAAATTCACATTTACTAAACGCCTCCTATCATTAAACAATCAATTAGCGTTTCAAAATGAACTAGGAAATATAGACTGGTCTCCATTAGAATCATTCAATGATGCTAATTCCATGTTTAATAACTTCCATCACAATTTTTTAAACTTGTATGAAAAACACTTCCCAGAGAAAGAAGTAACAATTAAAATTAAAAACTTAAATTCGCCATGGTTTATTAAAGGTTTAAAAAAAGCTTCGAAGCGAAAACATCGACTGTACGATAAATATCTAAAAAATAAGTGCATAAAGACCAAGGCAGAATATAAAAACTACAGGACTTTATTTGAGAAAATCAAACAAACTGCAAAATCAAACTATTATAAAAAGCAACTTGAAAAGTGTCAATTAAATTCTAGGAAAACTTGGCAAGTACTAAATGAAATAATTGGAAAACCGAAAATCAATAAATCTTTCTTTCCGAAAATCTTACATATTAAAAATCAAACTATTGCCAATGAAAACAATATAGCAAATGAATTTAACAATTTTTTTGTGAATATAGGACATAAACTTGCGGCAAAAATTCCAAATGTTAATAAATCATTTAGGAATACCTTCATTACAATAAAAATCAATTTAAAAATGAGAATTTAACCTTTAAAGAATACGAAACAGCTTTTAAAAGTTTGAAACGTAATAAATCTTATGGGATTGATGGTATAAACAGCAATATTGTTATTGACTGTTATAATGAGTTAAAAGTGCCTTTATTTAAAATTTGTAAATGTTCTCTGAATGAGGGTATCATTTCTGATATACTTAAATCAGCAAAAGTTAAACCTATATATAAATCAGGCGATAAAACGGATATTGGAAACTATAGACCAATATCTATACTTTCCATTTTTTCTAAAATTTTTGAGCGAATTATGTTCAATAGGTTATATGCATTTTTTAAAGATAATGACTTATTCTATTCAAAACAGTTTGGATTCCAGAAAAGCACTTCAACTAAACATGCAATACTTCACTTAATTAATGAAATAAAAAACTCTTTTGCAAACGGAGAATTTACTTTAGGCGTGTCTACCTCTCCAAGGCCTTTGACACAGTGGATCATAAAATAATGATAAAAAAGCTTATGATGTACGGCATAAGAGGCGTATTCTGCAGATGGATAGCAAGTTACCTGAGTTAACGTACACATTCCATATATTATGGAAATAAAAAACTTACAAATTCATCTTTAATTTCTTGTGGAGTGCCCCAAGGATCGATTCTTGGGCCTCTACTTTTCCTAATA